CTTAATAAATATGAGGTTTCCCTTAGGGCTGATGGAATGTTTTGGAACTAGATTAGAGGTGGTGGTTATACAACATTGTGAATGTGCTAACTGCCACTAAATGGTACACTTTAAAATAGCTAATGGCTAATTTTATGTTATGTGAATTTTACCTCAAACAAACAAACAGAAAAACAATAGCACTTGTCTTGTGAGCCCGACGTCATACGGAAATGAATTAGAGCCACGCCTGACCCCACATTGCTCCTACTGCGATCAGTATTGTTGCTGCTAGGTTTGCAGTCTTTGCCAAGTTATTTAACTCAGTTTCTCCTCCAGGAAAAGAGATATCAATAGCATCCACCCTTCCAGTACTGTTAGGATAAAATGAGACAATGTCTTTGGTAGGCTACAAACAACACGAGTAAAGGGATTTTTGTCTACTTTGTTCATGGAGGTATCCCCAGTGCCTAGAACACAGCCTGGCCCATAGATGGCATTCATCAAGTATCTCTTGAACAAATGGCATTGCTTAACATACTGCCTGGCTCCTGGTAATTGTTCAGCAACATTTAGCTGTTTGGCTGCCAGACTTCTTTGAAAGTCCCTACATAGTCTCTTCTAGCACAGAGAAGTGAGTATGCTTGTGGATTTCTGTGTCTTCACAAGACACAGAGGCACCTACCCACCTACCTGTCCATCCATCCACCCACCCACCCACCCATCCCCTTATCTATCCTTCCACCCATCCACCAACCTTCACATCCAGCCATCCAATTCCTCTACCTACCTATATATCCATCTACCCATCCATCCATCCATTCATCCATCCCCTTATCCATCAATCCACCCATCCACCAACCTTCATATGCAGCCATCCAATTCCTCTACCTACCTATATATCCACCCACCCATCCATCTACCCAAACACACACAAACATACATACAATGAATGCTTCTGAGTGCATAGCAGATGCTGGGGATCCATCAACCAACAAGCTAGATGCATTAATTCCCTTCTGTCACAGAGGTTACAGTTGAGCTGCGAAGGCAGACAATTAAACAAGCAATTACAGTCAGGGTGGTGAGTGCTAGAAGAGGGGAAGTGTGGGGTGCTGTGGGAATCCTCAGTGGGAGCACCATCCCTAGCTTGAAGGAGCAGGGAAGGTTCTAAAAAGAGGGAGAGAAGTGAGTAAGGATGCCGGACAGGTAGGTGGGACCGGCGGGGAAGGGCTGTAAAGCCTCACGTGCCTCTTCTCCAGGCAATAACCAACCCACCCCTCATTTCATCCATACACATTAAGTTTTTTATCTTTGCAGCATTTCAAGAAGCATATTGTTAACATCTCGATTTTCTGCAGGAGGAAACACACTCAGGAATGTTAAGTGACTTGCACAAGGCCTTGTGGCTGGAAAGTGGCAGGTTCAGGAATGGCCCAGGCCCTTCAGCATCTGGTCCATCTGGCAGATGATCTCCTGGCCCTCAGAAGTGGCTGTGGCCTTGGCAGTTGGAAGATTTGGATTTTTATTCTGATTTCGAAACTGACCAGCCTTAGTGTAGTAAATGAAATAATGGTCACCCAAACATACCAGGTCCTAATCCCTGGAACCTATGAATGTGACCTTATTTAGAAAAAGGGTCTTTGCAGATGTGATGAAGTTAAGGATCTTGGCATGGGAGGTTATCCTGGATTATCCAGGTGGGCCCTAAATGCAATCACATGTATCCTCATAAGAGAGAGGCAGAGGGAGACTTCATGCACAGAAGAGGAGAAGGCCATGTGAGGATGGAGGCAGAGACTGGAGCAATGCGGCCACAAGCCAAGGAATTCCAGCAGCCACCAGAAGCTGGTCAAGGCAAGGAACAGATTCTCCCCAGCACTCTGGAGGGAGTGCAGCCCTGCTGACAACATGATTTTGGCCAAGTGATACTGATTTTGGACTTCCACCTTCCAGAACTATGAGAGAATAAATTTCTGTTGTTTGGAGCCACCAAGTTTGTGATAATTTGGTACAGCAGCCACATAAAGAGGAGATAATAAATTCTATCTCACAGGAGTGCTGAGAGCCTTAAAAGAGTCTGGATATGGGAAAGAATGTATGTAGACAGAGCCCAGAATGCAGGAGGTGAGGAGGAACCGTCAAGTGCCTGTCTTCTTTATCTTTCTCCTGGTCCCACTTTGAGATGGAGCTTGAGCCCTGAAGCTGTGAAGACCCGGGCTGGCATCCCAGCTCTGCCATGTGACAGCCATGCACCTCTGAAAAGCACCTCATCTCTCACCCTCCACCTCCTCATCCATCTGTGAAAGTAATGGTACCTACTTCTGAGGAATATTGAGAGGCTGAGTGAGGTAATTCATACACGAAGTGCTCTTAGCACAGCATCTCGGGCACACAGTTGGTGCTCGATAACTGCAAGCTATTACTGTTATAGCTATTATTATTCCAGGTAGTCAGTGCTCAGCTAGCTTCCTCATGGGCCTGGATTCACCTCTCCTGCCCTCAATGGACATCAAAAAGATTTGCTGTCTTACTTTTATCTGTAGACAGTAAGCCAGAAGGCACAGGGCAGGGACTGAGTCTTACTCCAGTTTCTCCATTACACCACTCTCTCACGCATTCATAGAGTTCTACGCTGTGACTGATACTGTGCTGGGACTTGCAGATATACTGGTGGGCAGAACAGGCATTCAGTATAGTGGGAAGGTAGAAGTGCATCTAATAATCACACAAAATAGGTAATCACGAAGTGTCACAAATGCTATAAAGGTACAGGACTTGGTCAGGGGGATCTAGAGTGACTTTTGAGCTGAGGCCTCAAGGGTTAGCAGCCACTGGAAAAGCAGCATCTGTGCGGGTCTGAAAGGCATGAGTAAGGTATGTGGCCCCCATGAAGCTGACAGTGTAGCTGTTGAACCCTCTCTGGCCAGACCTGCCACTATCCAACAATGAAGTGAGGCCTGCACAGGTGCTTGGAGAAGGAGATCAACTGGAAGCTTCTCCCTGCGGTTCCCAGCCCTAGAACATGAAGCTAGTGTAAGGGTACACGAAGCCTGTGAAAATAATAACCTGGCCCAGATTCTCAGTGTAGACAGCCAGAAGAAACCCCTGGGTTTGGCATCTGGTAAACCTGAATTCAAATCCTGGCTCTGACAAGTGTCCACAAGGGATCTCTGAGCCTCAATGTTTTTGTCTGTAAAATGGGGGTAAGAGTGCCTACCTTGAAGGTAGGATGGTAGTAGCAGTAGGAGGAGGGGTAGTGGGCAAAGCAGTGATTAAAAATGACCATTGTGGTAGCCAGCATTTATTGAGCACTTCTATGGGCCAGGCCAGCCCTGGATATTCATAAACTCTTTTCACTTTCCAAACAGCCTCATGAGGGAAGTCTCATGGGAGGGTGAGTAGGGTCCTGGCACACGAAAACCAGGTAACTGAGAAGAGTTCAATATGTGTGCTATTTACGGAGGTGTGGGCGAGGTTTAGAGAAAGCAACAAGGGATGGTCTAGACTGGAAGGGGTGAGGGGAGGGCATAGTTACCAGACCCGGACAGAAACCTGTCTGGACAAGCCATCCATGATAGGAATTGTGTGTTCAGACTTGTTTTCCATACCTGATAAAGGGGATGCTAGTAATAACAGTGCCCACCTCATGGGGATGTTATATGGATTCAATGAGTTAAAAAGTATAAAGCACTTAAAACAGTGCCAAACTGTGGTACCCAGAGGGGAGGAAACCAAGTGTGGCATGCAGAATAATGTCCCCCCAAGGCCTCCCAGAGAGGTTCATATCCCAATTCCTGGAGCCCATGAATATGTGACCTTTTATAAAAGTAGGGACTTTGCAGATGTGATTAAGTTAATGATCTTGAGATGGGGAGATTACCTTGGATTATCCACATGGGTGGGCCCAGTGAAATCACAGGGTCCTTATAAGAGGAATGCGGGAGGGCTGGGGCCAAAGAAGGAGATGTGAGGACAGAAAGAGAAGTCAGAGACAGAAGAAAGTAGAGAAGGACTTGACCTGCCACCACTGACTTTGAAGATGGAGGAAGGAACATAGCCCTGCTGTCTTTATGCCACTTTTGGACTTCTTGATGCTGCCTTTGGGCACCAGAGCTGTGGCTTCATCTAACAAAACCTCAACAGCTTAGGATTTTGGCTCAACCAGAGAAATACATGGTGGGGGAGGGGAGTGGTGCTAAGGGGTGGGAGGACAAAAATGGGCTGAAAGATTACCCTGGCTAACAGGTTGGATCAGCTGTTACTCAACACTGACGGTCAATTCCAACCTGCTCTTCTGCCAAACGGTACCTGGGACAAATTCTGAGCTTTCTGAACTTGAAAGATGACTAGAAGCAGAGAGTGAAAAATGAAAAGCAGACGTCTCCAGAGATTCTCCAGTCTGTTTATTTCTGTCCAGATTCCCTTTGGGTGGTCTTATAGAGGCAATGGTAATAATTATATCCTACAGGTGATGTCTTGTCCCAGCCCTGCTCGGATCTCTGAATTCCAATGGCTATTCCTCAAGACCTCTTTATGCTGACCCCTGTTTCAAGCCTTTCCCTCGTGTATATTATAAAGCATCATTGCTACTGCTCCCCGTCCTGTGTCCATGGCAGACATCAGTAATCGATCATGGAGGTGGGCCCCCTTCACAAAATGACTTCTTGGAAGTCACAAAGAGTCAAAACCTATTAGGGCCATCATCCAGGGGAGAAGCAGAACCCAGGGCATGTTAATATGCTTTCTGCCTCTCAGGTGAAATGCAGATGAATATTGCATTATGGCAACTTTGAACAACGAAACTTAGGAAATGTACTTGACAGATAGAGGTGTGACAGAAAGGTGGTGACAAAAAAGAGCCGTGCTCAGCTTTGAGGAATGACATGAGGTGGTTGGCAGGAGCTACTAGCTCTGACATCAGCTCTGCCCTCACCCATTCTTTACTCCTTCAGAAGGTGCCTGAGTCCCCTGCAGGTTGGCATCATTGGGACTACCGGGTGGCCACAGCCATTGCCTACCTTAGACTTGACAGCCAGGATGATCTTGGGCAGGGCCACAATGAAGCACTTGAGGGCGATGGTGATGTACTTCAGCACAAAGTCTGCGATCCCCACAATCCACAGCAGGTCGAAGAAGTCCAGAGTCTCCAGGTTGGGCTTCAGGAATATAAGGCTGGGGAGGGGATTCAAAGAGTCAGGATGTTCACTTAGGGCCAGACCCTCGGGAGCTCCTTCTACTCACTCAGGAGCCTTGTAAATAGTACCTGTAGAAAGAGCACTGGACTGGGAGCCAGACATCTGTGTCCTGTTCCGAATCTGCTACTAACCTGCTGTGTGACCTTAGGTGGGTCTCTTAACCTCTCTGAACCTCAGTTCCCTTCATGGTTAAATGACGAGATTGGCCAGGTGCATCATTAAGGTCCCCTCTAGTTTTATGCATCTCCAACAGGCTTTACAAGAGGAGGCAAAAGGAGGGAAGGAGGGAAGGAGGGAAAGAAGGCAGGCCACGAAGACTGTGAAGGAGGGAGGGAAATGGATATGTTCCAGGCATTGCGTTAAGCTCTTTAGTCACTGGCTCTCACTGAATCCTCACAACAGTCCTTTGCAGCGAGCATTGCTTATGTCCACTTTATAAATGAGGCACTGAAACTTGGAGGTGTAGTTGCCCAAGGTCACACTACATAAGCAAAAGGGCATTAGTATCAGACAGACATGAATCTGAATCCAGGCTTCTCCATCTATTGGATCCTGGGCAAATGAAGTTATCTCTGTAAGCCTCAGTGTTCTCATCAATAAAATGGGAATCATTCCCTCCCTCGTAGTGTTACTCGCAGGACTTGATAAGAGACATACTATAGACTCTGCCATGCAGCAGGATGATAACAGTAACTCTAAGAGGCAGGCACTTTTATCCACCCCATTCTGTAGATGAGAAAACTGAGGCACAGAAAGGTAAAGCAACATGAACAAACGTGAAGGGACAGAGCTGGGTCTGAACCCAGGCACCTGGCCTCAGTTAGTGTGTCCATCCTTACCCTACAGCAGTGTTACTTGGAGCATGTGAACCTGTTTCATCTGTTCCTGAGCAGGTAAGTTACACTTCATGCTCACTTTCTGTCCTTACCTCCTAGGAGACAGACAACAAGCAGTTCTCAAGCTGGCACCGGTCCACAGACCACACTTTAAGTAGCACTGCTCTCCACCACCTCTGAGGATAAGGGTGTTATTCATAATAGTTGCTAAAATACCCTGACCTCTTACATCACGCTGGGCCTGCTCTCTGTAGTTATGTGTCTTAACTCGGTTCTCTTTCCCAAAGACTCTGGGGTGCTAAGGAGTGGAGTTACATGCCCATGGTGTCTTGGCTGGAACGGGGAGCTAGGATTGCAGCCAGCACCCGGTCTGTGCAGGACACTCTCCTTTCTTCCCGCCAGATTACAGGCTCCCAACAAGAGCCAAACTGAGTCCTATCTGTCTCCTCCAAAGCAGAGAGCAGTGCACACAGCACAGGGAGAATGCTTTCTAAATGCTTCTGAAAGACTCCAGCTGGCTGGGTGCAAAATGAAGCCTCTTGCTTCTAGCATCATGGGAATGAATTATTTTTTTCTTTACTGTTATATTTAAAGAGCTGGAATAGGGTGAAATCAATGAAAACTATCTATTCTGGCAGTCGCTCACACCACCTTCAGTGTCCCTCTCACATCCCAGCCCTGTCCCGAGGGACCATTCACATTATAACAGGGAGGGGCTGGTGGCCCCGAGTTCCATTCTTTGGCCCTGCCCTCACTCTTCCCCGGGATAGCCAGGGCTGGCTGGTTGGCTTCCACACTCTGCCAAACCTTTTATGCTTCTGTGATTGCAATAAAATGGAGATCTGCCTTGCATTTTTCCTTGCACTAGCATCTCAAAGACACCAGTTGGTGTTGATTCACCCATCTAGGTTTTATTCCATTTCCTTAGTGCTCTCTCTGTTTTTGACTTTGGTGGGGAGGGGGCGTGGCAGTACCAAAATGTTTTTCCACAGATTGATCCTTAATTCCACTTGTTTCTGAAGTACTCTATGAACTTGAACAGAGTGATATATTTTATTGTCAGTTTTGCTCCTCATTAGGCACTCGCGGCCATAATTATAGTAATTAATCAAAAAAATAATCATGATATGACTATAAGTAAATGTCTTATAGTTTACCCAGTACTTTCATGTGTATTATGACCTTTGGCCTTCCTAATTAGCCTGTTCAGGTGGATAAGGCAGGAATTAACTTGGTCCGGGTTTCACAAATGAGGAAACTAGCTAGTGAAGGCTCAAAGAAGTGACATTATTTGCCAAAGGGTGCAAGGCTGGTAAGTGGCAGAGTTAAGACTCTCTGTTGTTGGTCATTAGACTTGAAATCCTGAGAAAATTCAAGCTCACTGTTAAGGGCTGCCTTTGAGGCTAAGACTCCTTAGAAAAGGCTTCCTGAAGTCTTGGTTTTCTCATCTGTGCAATGGGATAGCGATACTCTGCTGGGTCACTAGGAGGGTAAAATAATATAATGGTTGTTAGTATCACAAACATTCTCTAGGCTGGTGACATCAGTAAGGACAAGGACTCAGGTCTGTTGCTTTTCTCTTCTTTTTTATTTGACTGGCCAGTACAGAGATTGAACCCTGGACCTTGGAGTTGTAAGTACCACTCTCTAAGCCACTTTCTCTTTCTGTACTGTCAGTTTGACTCAGCCCTGCTTTGATGGGGGCACAGAGGTCTGAGCCTGGGAATAGGATCATGCCCAGGAAATGCACGAGCCATAAATTCATCCAGGGTTCTGGGAAAGTCCACCTACACCCTCCACCAGGACCTTAACATTCTGGACCACGCAACTAATGCAGAATGTGAGATGTGTGTAGGTGCCTTGGAACTTAGAATTGCTTTTATGGGAAGGCCTCAGAAAGTGGTGAAACTGCTCACTCCTCAAAGTCCATTTTCTAAACAGATGGACATAATCTGAAAGCTTGACTCGAGTTTCACTCCTGTCCTAGAGGCCCTCAATGGCCAACCCTCCCCCACCATCCACAAAAAAACCCTCCCCTCATTTCTAACAGCCCTGATGGTTTCTACATAGAGTGATAACATTCTGGTCACATTCTCTTATTCAGTGATTTCCAAACACTTTTTTAAAAATGAAGCTAAATTTATTCCTCTTATGGGGTTGTTCTGTACTTCTAATTGATTCTTTGGTGTTAAAATACCCTTTTTTTTTTTTTTTTGTCCTTTTCGAGACTGGTCGCACCGCGCTCAGCCAGTGCAGCGCATCGGTCATCCCTATATAGGATCCGAACCCACGGCAGGAGCGCTGCTGCGCTCCTAGCGCCGCACTCTCCTGAGTGCGCCACGGGCTCGGCCTTTAAAATACCAATTTTTAAGTGAAATACCATACTGGCCAACTGCCAAAAAAAAAAAAAAAGAAAGAAAGAAAGAAAGAAATGATGTAGTGGTAGATGATCATTTTTTTCTAATTATGGTAAAATACACATTACATAATATTGATCCTCTTAACCATTTGTATATACATAGTTCAGTGGTGTTATGTATATACACATTATTGCACAAACCGTCACCACTATCTGACCACAGAATTCTTTTTACCTTGCAAAACTAAAACTCTATACCCATCAAACAACTCCCCCTTTCCCTTACCCCCAGCCCCTGGCAACCACCATGCTACTTTCTGCTTCTATGAATGTGACTTCTCTAGGTACCTGATATAAGTAGACACATACACTGTTTATCCTTTTATGTCTGGCTTATTTCAATTCACAAAATGTCCTCAAGATTCATCCATGCTGTAGCATGTGTCAGAATAGCCTTCCTTTTTAAGGCTGAATAATAATCCTTTGTATGTAAATACCATATTTTATTTATCCATTCATCTGTCAGTGCTCACCTGAGTTGCTTCTACCTTTTGGTTATTGTGTGATGATTGTTTCTTTAGATTTTTTAATTGCGAAAAGCAAGTTGGTATCTACTTGGTGGACCCCTAGACTTTGTTTGGGGGATGCTTTACTGATTTTTGAAATCTCCATGTCTGGGATTTACAAAATTTTGTGTCTGATGTGGATCTGTGACTCTGGTCACCCATAGACCCTTCTACAAACAGTCCTCAAATTCTGTAAAGTAGTTGCCTTTGGGGCATCTGTCCAGCCTGTGACCCTCTGTTCTGAGACATGCTCACCACTACCATCCTCAGGGAAACTGTTCACATTCCCACTGGACCCTGTGACTGGGCCCTTATGGCTACAGCTGCTTGGGATGGGTGGATCCCTGACCCAGGAGAAGCCGATCAGGAGCTTTCTCTCTTGAATCTTAAAAGGAGACTGCCAGTGAAAAGCTAAACCATGCCAAGAGCTGAACATCAGAGTAAATGTCCATGAATTCTGGCTGTCAAATTCCAGGAACTGGGGCTAGCCAGTTATTCAGCAGGTTAGAGCATGGTGGTGATAACACCATGGTAAGGATTCATATCACCTTACTGGCCAGCCACCAAAAAAACCTCCGAACAACAAAAAACACAACTTCTAGGAACTTCCCCGGTTTCTGCCCTTTCTCAGGCCTGGTTGTCCAGGTATTCTTAGGATTGTCTAAACCCTGCCTGGAGTAATAATGCCTAAGGTAAGAATGCCCTGTTTGCTTAAACTAGTAACCCAAAGGGCCCTAATTGATGTTTTTTTAATATAGTTCTGGGGACATGTGTAGGAAGTGTCAATAAATGCTACTTGCTGATTTAAAATGATATGCTGATAAAGGAAAAAGAGTTATAAAATGGCATGTTCTATACACTACAACTTCTGTAACAAAAATGCACATATATGCAGAGAAAAATGTTAATAGGGTTGCTGTTAGGTAACAGAATTGGAAGTGATTTTCATCCTTTTTGTTTTTAGTTGTTTTCCAACTTTCACCATTAAAAATAAATTACTTTTGGGCCGAGCCCGTGGCACACTCGGGAGAGTGCGGCGCTGGGAGGGCAGCAGCGCTCCCACTGCGGGTTTGGATCCCATATAGGGATGACCGGTGCGCTCACAGGGCTCACTGGCTGAGCACGGTGCGGCCGGTCTCAAAAAGGACAAAAAAAAAAAAAATTACTTTTGAAATTACAAAAATATATTCCTTTAAAAATTCTGAGGTACTCATTTATTTATTGGACAAATATTGACGGGCAACTGCTCTGAACTAAACGTTGTATGGGGCACCAGGGAAAGTAACTCACTAACAGAAAATGGGAGGCTGGCAAGCAGCCCTGAAAGAATTTGGAAAGGAAATTTTTTGACTGTTCACCATGCTCACTGCAGTGAGTGAGGTTTCGCCTGCTCAGTTTTTTTGTTTTTCTTTCTTTCTTTTCTTTTTTTTTTATTGCCCACTCCGTTTATTCTGGCAGATCTGTGAAAAAAGCTTCCAGTGAGTGAGGTTTCGCCTGCTCAGTTTTTTTGTTTTTCTTTCTTTCTTTTCTTTTTTTTTATTGCCCACTCCGTTTATTCTCGCAGATCTGTGAAAAAAGCTTTCTTGCTTCAAAAGATTTTCCAGGTGCCTGGCTGCCAGGGTGATGGGAAGGAATATTTCAAGGAAGCTTACGATAAATCAAGGCTACTTGATCCATCCAAGTTCTTTGGCTCTGCTTCCCTGCCTGCCACCATATTGCACAGAACTTGGAGTCAACAGGTCACAGAGAAGAGCATCCCCAATCATATGACATGTTTAGGGTATGGGGAGCAGGGAACCCTGTATCTTTGTTTCTGCCCAGTCAAACCAGATGGAGTAGACATTTTTATCCCTTAACATTAAACAACAACAACAACAAAAACTATTCCTATTATTATGTAAAAAAAGCGTCCATTACAAAAAAAATTGTAAAATACAGATAATTCCAAAGAAAAAATAAAGTTACCCACATATCTAACATCTAAATTTGTTAATATTTTTGGTCAGGAGTCAGCAACCTTTCCTGTAAAAGAATAGATAGTAAATATTTTTGGCTTTGTGGTCCAAACAGTCTTCATCACAACTATTGAACTCCATCACAGCACAAAAGTACTCATAAATGATACGTAAACGGATGGGTGTAGCTGAGTTCCAATAAAATGTTATTAGTGAAAATAGGTGGATGGCTGTGGTTTGCCAACCCGTTTTAGTGTGTATCTTTATAGATTTTTTAAAATGTAGACATATATACCTTAAAATAACGTAAAAAAGAAATTACATTCATAAGGTAGGGAAAAAAAATCAAACAGTACAAAAAGCCAAACAGTGCAAACTAAAAGTTTCTAATCTTCAGTGCCCACCCCAAAGACAACTATTGTTTCTAGTTACTTGTGTGTCCTTCTGGAAATATTCTAGAACTGCACTGCCCATCCAGTGCCCACTAACCAGTCTGAGCACTCGAAATGTAGTTGGTTGGAACTGACATGGGCTGTACATGTAAAGTACTATATTACAAAGAATGTGAAAAAGAAAATAAAAAATATCTCATTCATAATTTTTATATTGATTGCATACTGAAATGACAATATTTTGGATATACTGGTTTAAATAAAATGCATTATTAAAAAGGAATTCACCTGTTTCTGTTTAGTTTTCTTTAAGTAGCAACTAGAAAATGTAAAATTACATATGTGGCCTGCACTGTATTTCTACTAGAAAGTGCTGTTCTAGGCATATGTGTATAATAACAGTGGGGTGGAATTTGAAAGTCTCAATGTGACAGAGCTGGTGCATCCTTCTCAAGTGAAGGGGTGTGTGCCCCAAACCCCACAAAGCCCCCTACTCTCCCACTGGGGGAGGGTCCAACTCCCCTGCTCACCTGTTGTATAGCTGCTGGGAGCTGAATGTGTAGAGCACATATAGAGTGTTCCCTGCCAGAAAGGCCAAGATCCACAAGATGACCAGCACCGACCTCTTCTCCTGGAGACAAATCAAGAGATCTGTGGGGATTCTGTGATGATAAAGAAGCACATGGCAGAACCTTCCAGAATCTTCCAGAATGTTCCCTGATGAGTGGCAACTTTTCACTTTCTCAAAGTTTTGGAGGAAGCAGGGCTGATGGTGAAGGGGAGGGCACTGGCATCTTTCCATCCCACTGGGACCCAAGGAGTGGTCACAGAGAAAGTGACAGAATGGTGGAAACCTGCTTGGAGAACTATCCAGAAAGGCAGGAGAGCACTGTGTTTTACAGCACAGACTTCAGAGCTGGATGACCTGGGTTCAAATCCTTGGTCTGCTACCTGGGAGCTGTTCAACCCCAGGCAAGTTACTTAAACTCTTTGTTATTTCCCTTTCCTAATCTGTAAAATGGGTATATGTTAGTATCTACTTTATAGAGTTGTGAGATTTAATGTACATTAATGCTGAGAACAATGCCTGGCATGTAGTGTTAGTTTATTGTTAGGAACTGAGGCACAGAGAGGTAAGTAGCTATTGCTCACGGGCATGTGTTTTAAGCCTCGGTGTCCTCATTTGAAAATGGGGGTGTTGTTAAGGACTAAGACAAATTTGTAAAAGTAAACATTCAGCCTGGTACAAACTCATATTTCAGGCTTGATAAGGAGTAGGACCTAGTATTAAGACTTTATAACCCAGCTAGGTTCAGATCGAGAGGTTGGAGATTTCTGCTCGCTCTTTTTCTAGCACGGACCTCTGGGCTACTGCCCTGGATTGACCATTCAATGTAGGGCCACACTGATAGTATTAAATTCAAATTCATACACACGGCCATCAAAGCCCTTCACTATCCAGCCCTGTTTCTCTTTCTTCAGCTTTGTTCCTTTTTAGTCCCCAGGAAAAAAAGCATAAAACCTTCTTAGTTTTTTGTTTCCCAGCATCTTCTCAGCCTGAGGGCAATCCTAGGAAATGTCCAGAGAAGGGTATGTTCCTGCCTGTGTACCCTGGGAGACATATGCAGACCCCTCTACTGTTGATTCTCAAAAGCTTGTCTTTTCCTGGACCGGGCGGCTGCATTGCTGGAATAAGATGAGGTCATAACTTTCCCAGTGTAACCTTCCCTGCGGTTTCGGTAAATGCTCAATACACACTGTCTCCAGACACAACTCAGCGCCCCACGCACTATTACGACGATGCACATTTCCAGGGAGTGGACGAAACAAATGCATCTCCATCCACCCATTATTCCAGGAGTGGTCAAGGTTAACGACTCAAGAAACCACCTCCAACCAACCAGCTGCTCTTATCAATGTGATTAATCCACTCGGCAACTCTTTTTACTCCAATAAATAATAGATCCCAGTTTAATTCCCTGTACATCCAAACCAAAGGTGGAATAGAAAGAGGGAATTAGCAATGCCCCGAGAAGACATAATCTGAAGGGCAAAGGAGGTAGCTGTCTAGTAATAAGCTGAGACTCTTAGACCATGCAGACCCTCTCTCACAGAAAATATGTACATATAGGCAAAACATCACCTATCTTCATAGGGTTCAAGGACCCCTGGAGCCCTGTCCATGGATCTAGACATCCTCTCAGCAACTAAAATTCAAGTCAAGGCACCACTGGGATGTTACTGCATTTGAGAGAGAGCCAGCCCCAAAGCCTCCCACTATGGTGCTGAGTCAACCTGCTGTTTTAATAACAGCAGAAAGGGGTTTGCATGAAGAAGATGAGACTGAGGGTCAAGAAGAACCTCTGGCTCTGTCTCCAGCCCTGGACCTCAATGTGCTCATGTGCAAATGGAGACTGAGCTGCTCTCTGTGCTGCATGCAGGCCCAAGTGCTTTTGAGACAGCAGATGACACTATAGAAGTGTCAGAGAAGATGGTGATTGGTATGGGGTCACCTGCACAGTAGAAAGCACAGGCTTTTAAAAAAATAGCTTAATTAAATGTTTCCTACATGCCAGGCACTACACTAACACCTTCTATGCACTATCTCATTTAATCCTCTCCATGGGTCTCTGGGTATGAATAGTCCCTTTAACAGAGGCGGTGCCAGAGGCTGAGATAACTGAAGTAACCTATCTCAGGGCCTGCAGGTGGGTGGAAGAGCTGGCATTTGAACTTAGAATAGGCTCCGGGCTCAACTGTCTGGGTTCAAATCCTGATGCCACCACTTGCACTCACTGTGTGACCTCAGGCAAGGAAATTAAGTGTCTTTGAGCCATTGTGTCCTTATGGGGAAAATGAGATGAGAGTGATTTTGTCTCCCTCTCAGGTTGCTGGGATGAGACTCCAAGATGAGTTGTGCAATGGGCTGTGTGCTGTGCCAGGCACACAGTGCTCAGCAGACATTAGAGGACCTTCAGGATGCTGGTGGTGAAGCTCTGCATCCACCCAGCAGCATCAGTGGGATGGCCTTAACTGTGAGGGTGGGTTGGGAGTGAACTAATGGGCTGCATGCCAGGAGAGTAAAAGGACTGGGCTAGGGGCATGTAGAAGAGATGCTGCTGATGGAAGGGAGAAGGGCAGAGGAGAAGGGTGGCACATCTGGGATCTGCCCAGCAGTGGTAGCCTGAAGAACAGTCTCCTAAAGATGTCTATGTCCTAATTCCTGGAACCTGTAACTATGTTAGGTGGCAAAGGAGAATTGAGGTTGCAGATGGAATGAGGCTGCAAATCAGCTGACCCTGAGATGGGGATGGTCTCCCGGGTTATCCAAGCAGGCCCAATGTAATCACAAAGGACTTTAAAAGTGGAAGAGGGATTCAGAAGAGGGAAGTCTGAGGGAGATGTGACTACAGAAGGATGGTCATAGAGATGCAATGTTGCTGGCTTGAAGAACGAGGAAGGGGCCATGAGCCAAAGAATGTGGGTGACCTCTAGACTCTGGAAAAGGCAAGGAAAAATTCTTCCCCAGAGCCTCCAGAAGGAATGCAGCCCTGTTAACACCTTGATCTAGGCCTAGAGAGACCCACTTTGCACTTCTGATCTGCAGAACTCTAAGACAATAGATTTGTATTGTTTTAAGTGACTAAGTTTGTGATCATTGGTTATAGGAGAAACAGGAGACTGATTGGCCAGGTGACTCACCTTGAGAGAGACCTGTTCTCGGAGTGTGGAGTTGGCATAGGCGAAGGTGCTGGCCATCCCGATGCACACAGCGATGCCTGTGGGACAGAGGAGGGTTCAATACCACCCACTCAGACTCATCAGGCCCATCCCAGGACCATGAGCAACTCTGGAAAAAGTTACATCCCTGTTCCCCTTGGAGTTGA